CAGTCTGTGTACTCTCTTGAACCTATGAGGGCATCCACAACTTTTTCTGGCACCATGGCGGCGCCACTTTACAGTGAGGTAAAATATTTGACAGATTTCATAGCGGGGGACGATAATTTCTTAGGAAAATGTAATATTTATTTATTTTATTCCGTATTGTTAGTTATATTTTATAATAATTACATTAGAAATGAATAAACCAAACTATAAATATAACTTAAAGTAGAAAGATTAAAAAAAGAGTTATAAAGTGCAAAAAATTAAAAATCAAACCACTGACTCATTGTGTTGTATATTAATATAATATTCTAGATAATGATAAACTATTATTTAAAACTAATTTCTCAATTAACTGACACTATGTAACGAAAAACTTTACCTCAGGTACAACTAGCGACATCTAGTGAGCGGAAGATTTACCCCTCATTACTAGCACCAAGCAGAATTGCGTGCACTGCTTGTGTGCAATGTGTTTCAGTCTAGAGGGTATAGAGTCAGTATAATTACACGCTGTGAGGTATTCCCTCTAAGTTCTCAGAGGTGACAACGTATTGTCTTATTTATTTGAAGTGGGATGCAGGTGTCAAGGATGTAATTAGTTTTGTCGATAAAATAATATATAAGAAAGCAGAATGGGATATTTGGGCCTGAAGTTAACTAATTGGTTTATACTTTAAAAAATTGTCCATATTTTTCTTAAGTAAAATACAAAAATGTAGCTCTTTTTACAATCTAGATTTCGAAAAAACAATAAAATAAGAAATAAGTTAGAAAATCGATTGTAGTGTATTATTTATGGCAATAAATCGATTATCATAAAGAATACACTAGTGAAATTCTCATTTCTGAGTATATTCCAATAGAGGACTTCTCATTTTGAAACTTGACTTGACAGTTCAACCTTCAAACTATTTACTTAAAATAAAAAGACAGATATTAGATTCGTAATGAATGAATCGATTTGAAATGATTCGATTTGAAATGATCGCAATATAATCGATTCTCGATTAAATTGAGCATTTTAATATCTATTTTCGATTATTTTTCTATGTTAACTAGATAGATAAAAAATGCGTATATATTTACAAAAACGATAGTTGCAGTGACATAATAATATAATGTTTCAGTAAGCGCTTAGAGTAGTTGTTACGCCTGTGAAAAAATAATAGCAACGAGTGACATACATGTCAGTTTAAACATGTCCCAAAGCTGGGCACAAGAGTCTTATTTCTGAGAGAGACATGAAGCATTTAACGAAGGGAGGGCGGGAGTTGCTCTTCAAATTAGATAAGTCACATCATTTTATTTTAGTATGCGGATATTTGCTAAATAATAACTTTTTAACGTTATTAATATTTTTATACGTGGTATAGCCATGCTACAGCTATATTATAGTTGTAGCACGAATGCGTCGGCTCGACCGGGGTCGGGAGGACCACGCTCTCAGAATAGCAGCATAAAATAGCAGCTACATGCTGCTCTGTTTCGTATGGTGAGTATAGAGAACGGGAGGGAGAGCCTTATTACTGGAAACGATGTATTCCATCTTAGCCCGCCATTATAGCCATTTGTCACGTGGTAGAGCCATGCTGCAGCTAGTATAGTTGTAGCACGAATAGGTCGGCTCGACCGGGGAAGGATCACGCTCTCACAGAATACCAGCGTAAAATAGCAGCTTAACTCTGTTGTGTTTCGTATGGTGAGTGTAGAGAACCGGAGACCCTTTTTACTGGAAAAGAGGCAATCCATCTTAGTCCTCACGGTTGACAACGCATCTGCAGATGTGTATAGATATAGATGTCTATGGGCCACAGCAACCATTTACTATCAGGTGGACTGTGTGCTCGTTGTCACCCTATCCTACAAAAAAACCCTTAGGGTGACAACGCAACTGCATTTTGGACTCTTAATCAAGGATAGTATTAGAGGAGATTAGTATTCATGTAGATGTCTATGGGCCACAGCAACCACTTACCATCAGGTGGACTGTGTGCTCGTTTGTCACCTTTTTTTAAAATATATACTAGCTATCCGTCCCGGCTGCACACGGTTGCTTTTTGAATCTCGGCAACAGCGCCACCTACCGGGTCCAATTGAAATGTGCTTAAGCCAACCAGGGGCTCACTCAAACACGCAAAAAAATTAATCAAAATCGGTCGAGCTGTTTTTGAGTTTTAGCGAGACTAACGTTCAGCAATTGAATTTCTACCGACTTCAAAAAGGAGACGGTACTCAATTTGACTGTATGTTTTTTTTCTTTTTTAATGTGTGTTACCTCATAACTATTTTCTGGGTGAACCGATTTGGATGATTTTTTTATTTGAAAGTTGGTGCTTCTCATGTGGCCCCATATAAATTTGATCAAGGTCTGACCAATAGTTTTTGATTAATTCTTAATAATTTATTTATTTAAGTCGGTTGTACAAAATTTTTATTTGTAAATTATCATATATCATTGAGTTATAATATGTACTACGTTTCAAACAAAAATTGTGCGCTACTCTATGTATTCGCGCATGCGCGGGAGATAGTAGAGTAGCGCGAAGACTTTAATATAAAATAAGATATAAGAATTTAATATAAAATAATCTTATTTTAATCTAAACAAACATATTTCTAATTAAAATGTAATAATAATTATCTTATGGAATTCACAAATCTTCAATTTACGCAATATTTGGTTTAGTGTACGGATTGCAGTACAATTCATTTGAACATAGTCAATGTTCGGAATGCGAAATCTAGTGCGTAGTACATATCGATGATTGTATATAGAGATTTCCGCAAAGGAACGCTTCATACTATTAATTAATATATTATTTTATAATATCTTATTTCTCGGACAACGACTTATCATTGCACTCAAAATTCTAAGAGGCTTAATAGACGGCCCCGAAGTTCACAATACCTTATGCAAGATCTATGTACCTGACCACTACTTGCGATATAGGCCATCTCACTGTCATAGATTATTCGCGACGGTGTCACTGACATTCACTACTATGTCAAATGCACAGCGCAATGAGCGTGCAACCCTCAGAAGAGCGTTGTTGCATTTTTTTGTTATTTTTCATATTTGCGTTGTGGCAGAATGTACACGGCTCTTTTTAAATTCCTTGGCAGCTACGTTGTAAAACACATACATTCTTTGCGAATAAATAATTTGATTTGATTTGACTGTTCATCAATATACAATTAAAGTAATTTTGCTTTATTCACGTCAGTTACTTATCTAGGAAGTTACGCTGCCACGACATGAGTGAATCTCGTGTGTCTTTGAGTCACGTACTTTTTGTAAGTAGGTGAGATATTATATTTTTTTTTTGTTAAAAATAACACAAAAAATAAAATAACATATGCGAAACAGAAACTTTTTTATTCAATATAGATTATAAATAATACTTATTGAAAGTCACTCTTTTGTTTAATTACCATTGGTTTGAAAAAAAACTATGTCCTGGGAAGAACCAGCAAGAAACCCAGCGGGACTTTTTTTTAAATAACAGCTTACAATCATGTATGTTACACAATTAACCACGCAAAACAAACAGCTTGGTAGTGATCACCTCATTCCCAGGGGTTATTATCATCCATAAATTCCTTAATATTATAATAATCCTTTTTATACAAACTTTGCTTAATAAAGTTTTTGAACTTTGAGCAGGTCAAATTTTGTATATTCGCCCCAAGAAAGATTTACTGAATCGATGGAGTCGAGTAACTGGTACTACTAGTTTGTGTCTGTTCCTAGTATTTACAGAATGAATATCACTTATTTTAGTAAAACTACTTTTATTTTTGTGTACGTACATTACATTTTCATAGATGTATTGAGAGGCCAAAGTTAATATATTAATTTCCTTAAATTTTGTCGGAGCGACTCGTTAGGTTTTAAATCATTGATTGCTCTTATGGCCCTCTTCTGTAAAACAAATGTAATTTCAGTGTGTCGCGTGTCCACAGGGACACGTGCAAATATCAGCAAAATATCATACGACATTATGCTATGGAAATAGCTAAAGTAAATAAGTCATCTTTTTTACAGCATATGCTGCAGAACTAAGTATTCTTGCTAATTTTGATATATGGGGGCTCCATTGAAGCTTCGTGTCTCGTGTTATTCAGAGAAAAATGGTAGTGACTTAATAAATATCATGAACGACAGGGTGAGAATTAGAGAAAAGTGCGGTTTGCAAGATGATGTTGTGACCAGGATTAAGGAAGGAATGCTTCGGTTGTTTGCTCATGTAAAAAGAATGAAGGAGGAAAGAGTGACATAGCAAAATTATGTTGCAGAAATGAATGACAGAGTCGGGAAGGGATACCCTAGACGAAATAAAAAAAAGTTTATAGATAAGATATATTGAAGATGGAATAGATTAAGGGTACCCTCATATATGGATGTAAAGAAGGCGAGAGGTGTGTAATGATCGTGCCAATTTGAATTCGAGTATATATATATATATATATATATATATATATATATATATATATATATATATATATATATAGTATTCGCATAAAATCGTACCATCCAGTATAAGTTAGACAAATAATTATGATTTGTGTAGACATGACACACAACGCATCTACAGCATTCTAGGCCAAACGCAGAATTGATCAAAACATAAAATCAGTACAAATATATTTGTTTCTTATCTCCATAAAGGATAAAGGTGTACCTTATCTCACTTGTCTCAGATAACCACACTTAGTTGTGAAACGCCTCTCCTAGAATATACAACGTAAATAAGTTTTGAACAACACGAAAATAATATATTAATAAACGACCATAATGCATTAAAGTAGAGACAGATTAATTCATTGAAGTTACAGCAAATATATCAGTGTTATTAACAATTGAATATGTAAACAATAAACATGTTATTTTAATGCGAACTTTTAATGTCGGTCAAGATATGAGTAGTGTATAATCTGAATTCACTTTTGATTTTAAAGGAAAATAATTTTAAGACATTTGTAAAGCTTGAGAAGAGAAAATGGAATTTGATAATGAAAGAAGGGGAAGCCGGCCACGCGGTTTAGAAAGATCATTGAGTTACTCGGCTGCTATAGGCAACGGTTCTGAGAGATTGTCTATTGAGATACAACCGATGGCTAACACTGAAGTGTATATTAATGAAGAGATAAAGAAACATTATAGAATATCGCAAACATATGTAGAAGGTAGAGAAATCACTTTCCCTACAATAGTCACTAATGTCGACACGAAGCTGACCGCACCACCGAGCAATGCAAGTGTCCTCACTGATAACTCACAGTATTCCAGTGAGGATGAAACAACTGACCACGGACTCACTATGACAATCGATGTCGAAAGTAATGAAAGTCCGAAAACATCTGGCACCAGACATATATCTGATGCATCTACCCAACCTGTAGTCAGCTCAAGCGTGACTGATGAAATGTACGATAGGATTGACTTCGTTGAAAGCATTTATAATGACGTGGATGATACTGTTGGCTCATCAGCTCACGGATATTCTACGCCTTACTCTAAAAGGAGAAAGAAAGGGAGCAGACACAGGTGAGTGGACTGGTTTTGTCTTGGTCAAAGATATTAAAAATTTATTATTTAAAATCAGCGTAATAAAATAACATGACGGGTCTTATCTAGTTCCAAGAGCATCTCTCACCCTACCTCAATTGCGTGCATTATCCCCATCAGGGGTAATCCCAGCACCACTACACTAGGAAAGACACCACCGTCGATAATGCGACACGTGTTTCGCCTCTAAAGGAGGCATTATGAGGTGAAACAGATTCTGCGGTAGCCGACCGCTATGTCAGCCATTTGCTATTTAACGCTGGTATTCCGCGAGATAGAGTGACGACCTAGTAAGACGTGTAGGAGGTGGATGGATACAGGTGGCTCAGGACAGTGCTTTGTGACGTTCCTTTAGGGAGGTCTAGGTTGAGCAGTGGACTTGTGAAGGACTGTAATGATGATGATGATGATGATGATTCCACGAGTGAGTAGTCCTTCCCTGGCTGAACCGAACCATTTGTGTCACAATCATCCATTCGTGCTACAACCATATTTAAACCTAAATTATAATATAACAGCAGCGTGTCTCTACCAGGTAATTTTATTATCAATTTGTATCTTTTATTACCCTGCACATCACACTTGAAGTTAGTATACTATGCGATTCGAAATGTCAATCTAATAGTGCTAGCTTATCGTTGATGCATAGTATTTATTGCAATAAAACTAGCTTCAGTGCAATTACAAGAACAATAATAATTATCTTCATAAAGTTTCAAGTATATTATCCAACTTATTAGGTATTAATTTTACTAGATTATTTGTTATTTGTAATAACTTCCTCCAGACCGAATTTCGGTCACGGCGGCCAGTCTAAACAGAGAAAAGCCTTCTCAGATGAGAATTACACGATTATAGTGCCCAAGTGTATAGGAAAGCACATATGCACTCTCTATTCCATCATTTTCATAGTCCGATGGGACGCTAACGGTAATCCGGCACCACCGGAGAGAGATCAGGCGCAGAAGCAACGACTTTACATGCTTCTAGAGGTCCGGGCTGCCACTGAGAATTTCTTGACAGGAAAACGGAATAACCGATTTTGACCCGACCGATTTAGGCGTGATAACCCGGGCTTTCATGTTCAACAATCGAAGTGTTGACCACTAGGCCGAATTATGACGGACAGACTACACAGCTATATTATCATAATTATCAGTCATAATTAGGTATAATAAAATATCTGCAGATGGAAATGGTGATGTAAGACAATTCATCGTCTCATTTCAACCCGTGGGCATGTAAGACTATGGGATGTGCCAGAAAGATTTCATGGCTTCCAGTAGATGGCGTTAGAAACATCTCGTTTACGCCAATCGTAAATAACACATACCTGCGATAGGAAATAGCGTCAGAAGTGCTCACGGATGTTAATGTCATCGTCATTCGACTAGGCGTGACGATAAAGGAAATTCTCCCTACAAAGGAGGGACTTTTTAGTAGTAGAGTTAAACTGGCTGATAAAGAAGAGGGTTAAGCATAAAAACATTTACAAGTCGCGGTACGTAAGTCTAGCGATGAACGAAACGCGGAGGGGGCGCGCACGAATTGAATTGCACGATTGCGACTAGAGAGCCAATCAGCGCGTGCGAACGATACGTATGAGCCAATCAGCGCGACTTATGCGCAACAACGGTCACCGCTAGAATTTCGTGCCACTACTTATATTAATGACACTGTTGTAAATTATGATCGATCATCTAATATAAATACATACGTATACGCGGTAGAACCACGCTCAGAATACCATCGTACAGCTTAATACTGTCGTCTTTCGTATGGTGACTATAGAACCGGAACTCCGTTTTATTGCGGACGAGGGTAATATTAAACAGAGGGGTGAAAACGCATCTGCATATTGATTCTTAATCAAAGATAGATGTAGATGTCTATGGGCCGAAGCATCTGCCTACCATCAGGTGGACTGTGTGCTCGTTTGTCGTTATTATATTATAAAATAAATAAATAGATATACATCATTTTACTACAAAACTATTGAATGTTAAATGGTAAGGTGATAAAACCTTTTTTACTTATATACTTATATGGAGATAATGGCTAAAAACTGAGATTGACGTAGGATTTTCCTTATTTAAACTACTAGTTCAAATACGGCTATTACATCTGCAGGTTTTTGTTTAAGTTCTACGCAGAAAAAGTGGCGGTCAAAAGATAGTTAGTGATAAAAACAAAGTGATTTCATGAACGTAAATATTGCCATTTTTTTAGGCGCACTACCGGACTGATATGCTCCAACTGTATCATCAGATCGATAAGCCTATCGCCAGTTCTGATAAGACTTAGAATGACAATTTTTTAACACATACTTAGTATGATTTGTGAGAATTATGGAAATTTAAAAACAAGTTACTTAATTTTAATACCTAGAAAAGTGTTAGAATGAAAACTGATTTTACAATTTAGATGATCATTTAAAAGATAACAATGCGTATTTCTTTATAGAATAAGGGTGACAAACGAGCACACACTCCATCTATATTTATCTTCGATTAAGAATCAATATGCAGTTGCGACACCCCTGAGAACTAAGACAGAATGCCTCGTTTCCAGTAAAAAGGGTTTCCGGTTCTCTACGCTCACCATACAAAACACAGGTGCTATTTTACGCTGGTATTCTGTGAAAGCATGGTCCTATCCAGGTCGAGCTGACCCATTCGTGCTACCACCATAATTTCTTGCAGCGTGACTCTACCACATGTAAACCATAATATAGCTGCAGCGTGTCTCTACCATGCATAAAACATAATAAAGCTGCAGCGTGGCTCTACCACGTGTAAACCGTAATATAGTTGCAGCGTGGCTCTACCACGTGTAAACCATAATATATCTGCAGCGTGGCTCTACCACGTGTAAACCATAATATAGCTGGATCGTGGCTCTACCACGTGTAAGCCATAATATAGCTGCAGCGTGGTTCTACCACGTGTAAACAATAATATAGCTGCCGCACGGCTTTACCACGTGTAAACAATAATATAGCTGCAGCGTGGCTCTACCACGTGTAAACAATAATATAGCTGCAGCACGGCTCTACCATGTGAGAACAATAATATATAACTGCAGCGGGGCTCTACCACGTGTAAACATACTATAGCTACAGCATGGCTCTACCACGTGTAAACCATAATTTAGCTGCAGCGTGGATCTACCACGTGTAAACCATAATATAGCTGCAGCGTGGCTCTACCACTTGTAAACAATAATATAGCTACAACGTTGCTCTACCACGTGTAAACAATAATATAGCTGCAGCGTGGCTCTACCACGTGTAAACCATAATATAGCTGCAGCGTGGCTCTACCACGTGTAAACAATAATATAGCTGCAGCGTGGCTCTACCACGTGTAAACAATAATATAGCTGCAGCGTGGCTCTACCACGTGTAAACCATAATATAGCTGCAGCGTGGATCTACCACTTGTAAAAAATAATATAGCTGCAACGTTGCTCTACTACGTGTATACTATAATATAGCTGCAGCGTGGCTCTACCACGTGTAAATCATAATATAGCTGCAGCGTGGCTCTACCACGTGTAAACAATAATATAGCTGCAGCGTGGCTCAACCACGTGTAAACCATAATATAGCTGCAGCGTGGCTCTACCACGTGTAATCCATAATATAGCTGCAGCGTGGCTCTACCACGTGTAAACCATAATATAGCTGCAGCGTGGCTCTACCACGTGTAAACCATAATATAGCTGCAGCGCGTCTCTACCACGTGTAAACAATAATATAGCTACAGCGTGGCTCTACCATGTGTAAACCATAATATAGCTGCAGCGTTGCTCTACCGCGTGTAAAAAAGCTTAGATAATAAGCCTTCATGAGCTTTTTTATATATGTTTTTATATGCAACTGTACATTTAGCACGACTCTAAAATCCCCATGTCGCTTCCTTCACGTTCAAGCAATGTATGCATAGGGACCCTGAAGTAGCTCCTGCATAGTTCAATTGGACTACTGTCGGTTGGGTATGCTTTCATCATTTGCTTCATCTTTACAGCCTTTCAAAATTAACATACTGTAAGTAGGCCTCTCCCAAATAATGCTACAAAATATCACGGACCCGGGCCACCTGCATTAACTTCCTGCATGTCTTGTCAGGTCATCTCTCCATATAATCGGAGGTCGCCTTACAATTAACATACAGACGGGAGGCTTGTAATTCTTGCTACTGCGAAGTTCTGATCCGTTACTCTTATTCTAGCGGATATCCTTTTTTATTTGGTAATGGACTCGCACTGTAGTACTTTTGCCAGTGTCAAGTAATAAGAAATTATCCTTTATGATAATTTGTTTAAAACATTTTCATAATGTATTGATGCGTCAAATTGCGAAGTTTTTTTGGAGATTTCGACGGCAGCTTGAGTCAACAGATCTTCAATGGCGATAGTATTCGAAGAAACCTGAACAGACACATTATCTTGAGTTACCTACACATCATCATCAGAGCACTTGTATCACCGTTTCACGTGCGCAGACATTTAATTTATCAAATCGCACCACTTCACGTATCAAAATCCACTTTAAACGATTATCTACACTATAATAAAACTCTAACATGACGTCTGTCTTAACACGCATCACGTAAAATCTGTAAACCGATTGTGGCGGGTGGATGGAAAAGGGGAGATCTCCCGCCGGGCAAGGTGTTCTGCCCGGGGAGCGGCCAGCGCTCCGATTGGTAGTTCGGAGCTATTCTATATATGCCGCTTTAATTTCGGAAATTTGATAGCGCGATTTAGGCTTCGATGTGTTTCGCTTGTGGCGCGACGAGAGCGCCGCCACACGATTTAAATGGGACTTTGACTCATGTAGCCTAAGTTACTCCTTAACTTAGGCTACTTTTATTTTAGGTTCTCTATCTCTATCAAGGTTTCGCACAAAAAAAAAATTAAAACCAATGAAATCCAATCGCAATCAATTCCACGCGGGCGAAGTCGCGGGGAATAGCTAGTTTATACAATAAAACAAGAGCAGCAATCCGCCGGCGGTTAAGTTCCCGCCAAAAACATATTCTTATTACGAATTCTCGATATTTTTACTTTTTACTTTATCATTGCCAGTGCCTGAAGTCGCTCAGGAACCTATGAAGATTGATTTATGCTTTGGATATTATATAATGGTCTATTCAGAAATAAACAGAGATGTATAATAGCCTTAATTTGTTTGGTTCTAGGCGACAACATGGCAGACCCATCCGTTCAAGAAGAGTAGTGCACAAGAGCGGGGAAGAGAACGTGCCGGTTAGGAGTAATATCCCAGCGAAATCGATCAAATACTTGCGAGACATCGTCAACACTGTTGTAAGTATACCTAGTGAGTCATGGTTGCCTGATATAATTGTAGTGTTTTATATAGAACACACTGAGATTTATATAACTAGTTCGGCAGTACCTATAAGGAAATTTTAAAATAATGCAACTTCAATCTTAACTTAGATGATTGTATTAATCTCACAACAGTTAATAGGGTAGTAAAATATTGCAACGACAAAGATCCTGTTTAAAATTAACGTGATTTACTGACGTAATTACTACGAGTACGTTGTTTGAATTGTTGCTCAGAAAGAATGCGCAGGCGCTTCAACATCTATGTTCGAATGTGTACCAAAATACAGATGCGTTGTCAACCATGAGGGCTAAGATGAAATGCTTCGTTACGATAAAAAAGGGGCTCCAGTTCTGGTCATTCATCATAGTAAACACAACAAAGTTTTATACGTGGTAGTCCCATGCTGCAGCTATATTAGTAGTATAGTTGTAGCGCGAATGGGTCGACTCGACCGGGGATGTACCACGCTCTCGTAGAATACCAGCGTAAAGTGGCAGCTTGACACTGCTGTGTTTTGTATAGTGAGTGTAGAGAACCGGAGACCCATTTTACTGGAAAAGAGGCATTCCATTTTAGTCCTCACGGGTGACGCCGCATCTGCATTTTGATACTTTATTGAGGATAAATGTAGATGTCTATGGGCCACGGCAACCACTTACCATCAGGTGGACTGAGTGCGCGTTTGTCATCCTATCCTATAAAAAAACACCAGCATTATGCTGCTATTTTACGATGATATTCTTTACTAGCGTCACAAGTAACCCGAACTATGAAGACGTCTTTTGTCTTCTTTTTCCACAAAGTGAAAAACGAACCTACAATCCACCTGATTGTAAATGGCTACTGGCCATGAACAACTGCAACCAACTTCAAACAAAGATGAGTTGTCACCTCTGAGGACTAAGTTGGAATGCCACTGTCTGTATTTTTTTTATAGAATAACGGTGACAAACGAGCACGCAGTCCACCTGATGGTAAGTGGTTGCTGTGGCCCATAGACATCGAAATCTATCTTCGTTTGCGAATTAAAATTCAGATGCGTTGTCACCCGTGAGGACTAAGATGGAATGCCTCTTTTCCATGAAAATGGGTCTCCGGTTCTCTACACTCACCAAACCAAACACAGCAGCATTAAGTTGCTATTTTACGCTGGTATTCTGTGAGAGCGTGGCCCTTCCCCGGTCGAGCCGACCCATTCGTGCTACAAATATACTATTAATATAGCTGCAGCATGACTCTACCACGCTATAAATATAATTATGCTGACTCTCTATAAAATAGCAGTGAAAAGATCTTCAGACAATAACATAGCAGTACAAGCTCTGCTATTTGGCATGACGTGACTAATCAGATAGGTTAGGCAGAACAATAGTCGTACCAACTTTCCTAATATAAATTACTTACAGTTAAAAGAAAATAAAGTTACATCCTATATACGTCCCACTGCTGGGCACAGGCCTCCCCTCATTTCTAAAGGTTTTAGGGCAAGGAAGTGACCGCCGCGTTGCCCTAATGCGTGTTGGCGAAATATTTTTTTTTCTTATTTCTTAGACATGCTGGTTTCCTCACAATGTTTTTCTTTACCGCCGAGCACGTGGTAAATCAGCAATAAAAACTACAATTAACAATTTCACTGGTGCCGTCGGGGATCTAACCCGGGTTGCTCGCGTACTGTGAAATTTACAGCGAGCGCTAACCATCTGAGCTACCATGGCTCTATAAATGACTTAAGCATTATTATTGTTCTTTAGTAATACTAAGTAAAATTCAACGGGATATTAGTCAGAGGTGTGAACTTCGAGAAAAAAATTTATTTGATTATTTCCTAATTTAGAAGCGAGTGTTTTAAACAATAATCTCTGTTGACAACTCGCTTAAAAATATGTGTTTGACCCTGTGTGTGTTTATCTTAAGTACAATATTGCCTTTATGAAGGGTTTGGTTTTGATACCGCTGGTAGCCAATTATATTTTACTTATTTATTTTTATTTATACTATATACTTACCCACAATTTTGATAACAAATCTTTAAGTTAAACATTTAAATAAAGCTGGTTTTACGGATTTTATCACGTATATTAACTTAACTTATATTCCCGACGTTTCGAGCATTTTACAGCACCCATTGTCACGGGGGGACTCAGGCGTTTGACGTCTCAATGTCATAGTTAACCACGGCTACCTCCAGAATAAATTTTTGTTTGACACCTGAGATTTTGAGTGAGATTGAGAGGTTCTATGGTTCACACGCAAATGTGAGTAACGATCCAAGAGCGAGTCTTATCCGACACTATTCCGATGATATCCCGGATGTCAGTCTGAGCGAGATTAGAATGGCTCTTCAGTACCTTAAAAACGGCAAGGCCCCAGGCGAGGATGGAATTACGGCGGAGCTTCTGAAAGCGGGTGGAAAACCGGTACTTGAAGTCCTTCAGAAGCTCTTTAATTCCGTCCTCCATGGTGGCATTATACCGGAGGCGTAGAGCAGAAGTGCGGTGGTTTTGTTCTTCAGGAAAGGTGTTGTCAACGCTCTCTTGAAGAACTACAGACCGACTTCCCTTCTGAGCCGCGTCTACGTACTGTTTTTGAGAGTCATTACGAATCGTCTCGCGCGCAAACTTGACGACTTCCAGCCTCCCGAACAAGCCGGCTTCCGAAAAGGCTTTAGCACCATAGACCACATACATACCCTTCGGCAAATTGTACATAAGTCCGAGGAGTACAATTTGCCACTATATCTGACGTATGTGGACTATGAGAAAGCCTTTGATTCCGTCGAAATTCGGGCGGTGCTGCAGTCCCTTCAGCGGTGCCAAGTTGACTGTCGGTATATCGAAGTGCTGAAGTGCTTGTACAGTAGGGCTAAGATGGCTTTCCGAGTATAGAACCAGAGTACGAAACCTATCCAATTGCAGAGAGGTGTAAGATATGGTGACTTTATATCCCCGAAACTCTTCATCGCTGCATTGGAAGACGTTATCAAGCTTCTGGACTGGAAAGGATACGGTATTAACATCAATGGCGAGTACATCACTCACCTTTGATTTGCCGACGATATAGCCCTTATGGCGGAATCGCGGGAGGACCTAAGCACTATGCTCAATGATCTCAATAGTTTTTCCTAACGGATAGGTCTTAAGATGAACATGGATAAAACAAAGATCATGTTTAATGTCCATGTCACACCTGGCATAGGTGTGACATGGACGGTAGTGGTTGGGAGCAGTAAGCTCGAAGTTGTTGATGAGTATGTTTAACTGAGACATATAGTTCGACTAGGTAAGTCCAACTTCGACCGAGAAGTCATGCGACGGATTCAACTCGGTTGAGCAGCGTTCGGGAAATTACGGCGCAACTTCACGTCAGGTATACCTCAAAACTTGAAAACGAGACTGTACAACCTGTGCGTGTTGCCAGTGATGACCTATGGAACTGAGACGTGGTCCTTCACTGCTGGCTGGATGAGGAAGCTCAAGGTCGCTCAACGAGCTATGGAGAGGGCTATGCTCGGAGTATCTCTCCGTGATACACTTAGAAATGAGGATATCCTCAGTAGAACCAGAGTGACCGACATAGCTTAACGGATTAGTAAGCTGAAGTGGCAATGGGCCTGCCATATAGCTCGAAGAACCGACAACCGATGGGGAAAAAAGGCTCTAGTGGCGGCCTCGTACCGGCGTACGAAGTGTAGGGCGTCCCCCCATTAGATGGAGTGACAACCTGGTAAGATATGCAGGAAGTCGATGGATGCAGCTGGCTCAGGAACGTGCTTTGTGGCATTCCTTGGGGGAGGCCTATGTTCAGCAGTGGACTTGTGAAGGCCTGTAATGATGATGAGTATGATGAATTTTTGTTTCAATCTACGCAGTATCAACTTACAGTATCTTGAAGTCTTGCAGATGTATGCTTGGGTTGGGATTTAATTTTATGAATTATAGGACCCCAAGCAGATGGTAGCACTCAGCCATCTTCTCTATTGAAATTAGGATGTTTTTGATTTCAATAACTCGCATTAAAGAACACATAGCTGATGTGAAGAATCGACGCTCCGGGAATTCTGCAGTCTGTAAATACGTACCAGATCATCCCCGTTACTACATTAGATTTGATAGGCCACAAATCCACGCTAAAGAACACCGATTACTTCAAAGGATGATTCTAGAAACTGTGGTAAAATCAACGTTAAGTTTTTTTTAATGCACGTGGTGCCCTACTGTAAGTAATGGGACATTTAATTATAATAATTATGATGGAATTCCATACGTATGTAATTAGTGTTCTCATTGCCCTAATAAAATAAATGAATACATAACGACGTCTAAAATATGTAAATAAAATTTACGCAAACATTGCCATTTCTATTTGTCAGTGAGTTGAATCTCGAAATTTGTAAAATAAGAATTTTCAGATAGTCTGACCCGTCGCCTCTTTTCCCCAGATCAACAGCAAGTGGCGCTTCATAATTCTCCTCATGATCGTGTCGCACTTTGTGTTTTGGATAGTCTTCGCCGCGATCTGGCTCGCGGTGTCCTCCGCCTATAAGGAAGATATTGGCGACGGGAAGGAGCACTGCGTCATCGGGACGTCCTCGTTCGCCGGTCTACTCATGATGTCTGTGGAGACACAGGTATTGATAACTGTAACACAGTCCCAGAAAATAATCATATATACATAAACATAAACACTCACGCCTGTCACCCAGAGGGGTAGGCAGAGACTATGGACCTCCATTTGGCACGACCCTGACACACGCTCGTCGGTTACTCTTAATTTGGCCCGTTTTAAATATATCACCAATTTGGTCGATAAACTTTCGCCTAGCGCGTCACTTCCCGATTCTGCCGTTCACCTCTACAACATAAATTATCTTTGTCACTCCTCATTCATTCTTTCTACATGACCAAACCACCGAAGCATTCCTTTCTTAATCCTGGTCACAACATCATCTTGCAAACCACACTCTTCTCTTATCACACAATTTCTCACTCTGTCATTCAGATTCAGCCATAACATAGTATTTAATGCCGCGCTTCTACAGCATTTATTCCACTTTCGTGCATCTTCTGCCACACCCAACTTTCACTACCATACATTAAAGTACGGACTAACACAGCATTGTGAATTGCCATACGTGCCTTTTTGGACACATTCTGATTTTCCACTATAGAGTGTAGAGCCCCATTTACTCTACTTCCTGCGTTTCCCAGAAAATATGCAGCAAAATATACTCTTAAGGACTAAGACGGAGTCTGGCATAGCTTGTTTCGCCTGCGTCTCTTAGTATTAACCGCGTAAGATCGGAAAAACAGTAGTGTTATCACTACTAGATAGGGCACCTGTTCTGTCTGCGTAGGTGCGAACTACCGGCTAAAGTTAATAGTACCTACCAGTTACTTGACTGCACAGAGCCAGTAAGTTATACATGTAGCAATATGTACGTTTTTACAACAAAATCCTAGAAAATATACGAACATTTTCCAATGCCAGATAAAAAACTTTATTAAATAATTTAAAATTAAAAATTTTGTACAACCGACTTCAATATAAGTTATTAAGAATAACTCAAAAACTATTGGTCTGATTTTGATCAAATTCATATGGGACCACACGAGAAGTATCAGCTTTCATATAAAAAAGAATAATCGAAATCGGTTCATACCAGTAAAAATTTATGAGGTAACACACATAAAAAAACATACAGTCAAATTGAGTACCGTCTCCTTTTTGGAAGTCGGCAGACAAAAATATTTAATAAGGGTTATTATACTACTGAAGTGTACATGATTGATAAGAAATTATGGGAATGAGGTGATCGCTACCATGCTGTTTCTAAATGTTTTCATGTTTGCTTATATAAACCTATTGTAAATTAATGTTTATGAAAGTCCCGCTGAGTTCTTGGTTCTTCCCAAGACTGAGGTTTTTTTTTTCTAAACCAGCGGTAAAGCGTAAATTACTTTTAATAAGTATTCTTCTCATTTCCTTTCACGACCAAAAGGTTATAAAGAAACGCGAAAGATTTGATTACCTTGAGTTATCTTGAGAAAAATATAAATATAATACACTCTATTACTATTTTGTGTTTTGTTACGTTCTGAATTATTATAATTTAAAATTTTATAATTTAAAATTTTGTACAACCGACTTCAATATAAATTACCAAGAATAACTCAAAAACTATTAGTCAGAACTTTATCAAATTTATATGAGACTACATGTGAAGCACCAGCTTTCAAATAAAAAAAGAATCATCGAAATCGGTTCACCCAGTAAAAAGTTATGAGGTAACACACATAAAAAAACATACAGTCGAATTGAGTATCGGCTTCTTTTTGAAGTCGGTAGAAAACGATTACAAACTATCTTTCCTACTCCATCATATAATTTTTAAAGACAAAAAAAAGAAAAAACTAATACTTTAAAAATTAAATCCATACATAAATATTGGTCGTAGTTGCCAGGCTTGGCAGGCAGATTGGCAACCGCAGTTTTTTATTGTTTTGAGTTGTTTTCTGGAAGATGATGCTACTCATCTCCTGTTTAAGTTCCATCTGCCACTAAACGTTGAAGAGGACCCATAATAGTAATTAAGGAATAATTCTTATGCTTTCAGATGACGATCGGTTATGGTGTAAGATATCCAAGTGAAGAATGTCCCGAAGCTATCATCATCATGGTAATGGAGGTCAGTATTTTAACATTTGTATTTTAATGTTTAGTCGACGTCAATCTCACGTACTATGTTATATCCAAATAGACAAAACATGAACGTTATTTACGTGGTAGAACCATACTGGAGCTAAACTATAGTTGGAGCACGAATGTATCGGGAAAGAACCACGCTCTCACAGAATACTACCGTGAAGTAGCTTTATGCTGTTTTATTACGTATGGGTGTCGTTTTTACAGGGAATTATAACACTAGTTAATAATATTATGTAACTTACTAAATTGAATTTTGAGAAAAAATGTTATCCACATCTGAACTAACTGACACACGCATCGATCGGTAAAGCGGAGTATTTGAAAATACTCTTACTCCCCGGCCAATGCAGAGGTAATAAACTCGCATACAATTGGCACATAAAAATTTGTCCGACTTCTGAAGCTATTTTGCGAAAATTATTTTATTGCTCTTTGAAATCAGTTTTAACTATTTATTAAAAGTTATTATTTTATTGACTAACAATTATGCTGTTATTGTTTATAATATGCGAAGGAGTAGAATGGTGGTAGACTCGTAATAACAAGCGAAATGTAGTGTGTAATACATGGAGTGAAGACCTAGTAAGACAAGTAGGAAGTCAATAGATGCAGCTGACTCAGGATCGTGTTTTGTGTGTGGCATTTATTCCGATAGGCGCATGTTCAGTAGTTGACTTATGAAGAGCCTTAATGATGATGACGGTGTTAAGGCATAGTCCGGGAGGATTATTTGAGCGGTATTTTTAAAAAAAAACTAAAGTGGCAAATGAATTTACAATATACTTGATGTGTGACTAGTGGCTACTGCAGTATACAATACAACACTCACGCCTGTCACCCAGACGGGTAGGCTGAGACTACGGACTTCCATTTGGCGTGATCCTGACACACCTCTCTCGCCTCCTTTACTTCCATATATTTACGCATACACGCTCGTCGGTTAAGGCTACTCCTAATCTGGCCCATTTTCAATGTATCGCCGATTTGGTCGATAAATCTTCGTCTAGGGCGTCCCTTCCCGACTTTGCCGTTCACTTCTGAAACATAAATTTGCTTTGTCACTCTTTCCTCGTTCATTGTTTCTACGTGACCAAACCACCGAAGCATTCCTTTTTTAATCCTAGTCACAATGTCATCTTGCAAACCACACTTTTCTCTTATCACACTATTTCTCACCCTGTCATTTAGAATCAGCCCTAGCATACTCCATAATGACCGCATTTCTACAGCCTTTATTCTACTCTCATGCTTCTACTGCCATACCCAACTTTCACTACCATACATTAAAGTAGGGACTAACACAGCATTATGAATTGCCATACGTGCGTTATTTGACACATTCTGACACCTCATAATAGCGTGTAGAGCCCCATTAACTCTATTTCCTGCATTCACTCCTCGTTCTATATCCTTATCATATCTACCATCCCTGCTAAATAAACATCTTAAATATACAAACTCATCCACTTGCTCAATCAACTCTATAAATAAGTATACCTGCTATTAACATTAAACAACGAAGGCTACAGATGCTTTGTCACCTGAGTCCTAAGATGGAATGCCTTGTAGCCTGTAATTATGTTGCCACTTTGTACTCTTCAGACTGGAAGACAACACCTGATACGTGGTAGAGCCATGCTAAAGATATATTGTGGTTGTGGCACAAATGGATAAGTCTGACCGAGAAAGGACGTAAGGACCACGCTCTCACAGAATACCAGCGTAAAATAGCAGATTAACGCTGCTGTGTTTCGTATGGTGAGTGTAGAGAACCGGAGACCCCTTTTTACTGGAATTGAGGTATTCCATCTTAGTCCTCAGGGGTGACAACGTGTCTGCATTTTGATTCTCAATCAAGGATAGATGTAGATATCAATAGGCTATCAGGTGGGATGTATGCTCATATGTCAGTCATCCTTATTCTATATAAAAGGTTCTAAGATGGAATGCCTCATAGCCTTAAATTGTACTGCCTTTTGTATTAGAAAGAAACACAACAGTCCAAGCAATGCTGGTAAGCGGCAGAAGTAGGTAATAGGTTGGTACTTACCCAGACGGGCTTCAGGGCAGGAAAGGAGTGTTAAGTAGTAAATTATATTAATGTTGTTAACAGATCGTCGCCGGAACAGCCCTATCAGGAGGTTTGTCCAGCTTGCTGTTCACCAAATTGGTCAGGCCTAACAGGCACGTATCGTCTGTGGGCTTCAGCAAAAAGGCTACCGTAAGTCACACAATTATGTATGCATCCTCCATCCTCCATTACAGCATATAAAACTCCACTGCTGAACATAGGCCTCCCCCATATTTTGCCTCATAGGGGGATATTTGCCATAGTTGTAATGTTACTGTTGATTTAATAATTTCACCTCTCAGCGGGTCATATGCTCCTGGTAGATTATCTTCTATACATCCATCCATTACAGCCTATAAAACTCCATTGCTGAACATGGGCCTCCCCCATAGATTGTCTCATAGGGGATATTTTCCATAGTTGTGTAATGTTACTGTTGATTTAATAATTTCACTGCTCAGCGAGTCATGTACTCCTGGTAGATTATCTTCTATACATCCATCCATTACAGCCTATAAAAGTCCACTGCTAAATAAGCCTCCCCCATAGATTGCGTCATAAGTGGGATTTTTAAGACTGTATTAAATAATAGAATAAGGGTAACAAACGAACACACAGTCCCCTGCTAGTAAGTGTATAAATGCAGATGCATATTCACCCTTAAGGACTAAGATGGAATGCCTCGTATCCAATAAAAATGGTCTCCGATTCTCTATAGTGTAGAGTCTACACTCACCATACGAGCAGTATTAAGCTGGTATTCTGTGAGAGCGTTGCTCCTTTACAGTCGAGCCGACCCATTCGTGCTACAACCATAATATATCTGCAGAATGGCTCTACCACGTAAGAATCTGTTTCCATTGCAGGTGTGTCTTCGCGACGGTGAGCTGTGCTTGCAGTTTAGGGTGTGGGATTTATTGAACGTGCATCTCATCGGGAGCACCATAACTGCCTATATGCTGAAACCTATTCGGTAAACAACTAATCCGTACGCAATTTGTTTAAGTAAAACTACGTAGTACTATTATTTATTATGTGCTAAAATGTTTTCTCGGCAGTTTCTCGACTCCACAGAGTCAGTAATTCATTCATGGGGCAATGTATAGCATATACATTGCCCCATGAATGAATTACACCAAAATTATTACAACAAATAATTACAATAAAGTTCCAAAAAAATATACAAGGTCTTTCTATTAAGTATAAATATTTTATTTAAACAAAAAATGTATAAAAGTGTTATTATGATATAAATGTCTACATGGTTGATAACAACCCCCCGGAATGAGGTGGTCGTATCTAATCTGTTTCTTAAATAAATTTTGTAAGTAGTGGGTACATTCTTTTTTATTGTATAATTTACTTTAAAAAGGTCCCGCTGAGTTGCTTGCTGGTTCTTCCCAGGACAGAGGCTTTCTAACGAACCAATGATAAAAGTAAAAAAATAAGTTATTTTTTTTTTGAAATGTTATCCCCAAACTAGGATTTTGTCCTGTATCGTGGGAGCAGTTTACAAACATAAATTGCTCAAGGGCAAACATCCAGACGCGGAACGATTATTTGTAGGCCATACAAATACTTGTTCCGTACGGGATTTGAACCCGCGGCCCCCAGCGCAACAACTGATTGCTAAGCCACTGCGCCACGGAGCCGTCGTACTACACATTATCGCAGAATTTCACTGTACATCAAAGCCTCATGAAATTGAAGACCAACGTGATCATACTGTAATTACTTAAAATGGCTAAAACGTAGCGAACATTGAGCAATCAACACCCATTTCAAATGATACGTCATACGTTTTAATGTTAAAACTCAAGCCTACGGTCTCTCGGACCACACCTAGTCGAAGTCACGCGTTCAAAAGTTAATCTGTATGTAATTGTTGGCGGGCGAGGGTTGGACGCCACCAGGTGTCTTCTTTTGCTAACTATTGGGTGACAAACGGTCATCTAAAATGAGCAACATTTAGACTATAATATGGTCCCGCTGAGTTGCTTGCTTTTACGTTATTTAAAACAAATTTTTCACAGGACCTTGGAAGGAGAAATGGTCCAAAATTACATTCACCAACTAAAGCTGAAGCAAGCCCGTGCCTTCCTCATCTGGCCGATCACGGTTGTCCACGTGATAGACGCCGAAAGCCCACTTTACGATTTCTCTGCTCAAGAAATGATGGACTACAGGTACTTACGACTTTTTGAGTCTGCCAATTGTCCTTGAATTTCCTGATCCTCCTGTAAAATATTTGGAGATCTGCCTGTACACGTAATAATTATGGTAAATCCCACTCCAACAGGTTATCCCGCTTTGTTTCCTATTAGGCTCCATGATCAGTTTCCGACTATTACGAGTTAATAATTAAAAAAAAAGTTTTAATAAAATATAAAAGTCGTATAGATCATTCTGCGTAGATCTGATTAAAAATTAATATTCAAAAGCGGGCTAACTAGGGGTGGACCATATGGAACCACTCGTAAGTTATCGATGGCATACCAGTAGGTTTAAGACTCTTGCTAACAAAAAAACTTACGCATTTATTAAATTACAGATTTGAGATAGTTGTTTGCCTGACGGGAGCTTCGAAGAACATGGGTACAGTAACGCAGAGCCGATCCTCCTACCTCTCTAAGGAGATCATGTGGGGGTACCGGTTCAAAAACGTTCTCAGGTGACTATGTTTTTTTTTTATTGGACTTGGCTATCAGCTATATGAAACGTGTGTATAGTGAGAGCACTGCTGAGGTTCCAGTTTGAAGAGAATAGAGAGTCAGTATAGGTAATTACTAGTTAGGAAAATTCAAAAGTGCACTCCTCATGAGCGTTTATATTAATTTTGATAAAAAAATAAATTGTATTCCTGACTTTTAAAATATATTATTTACGTGTTTTAAATTTAGCGTTCTATTATTATAACAGGTAGTATCATCCAATGCGAAAAAAAAATGTTTACCAAAATAAATCGATTACACAAAGTATAAAATCGATATAGGCTGTATGGTACATTTGTCCTTTGTCTATCAAGGGCTAAAAAATATAAAAGCGCCTTTATAATAGTAATAAAACTTATATAAGTTGAAAATCATTTTAATAACCAACTACCTGAAGCTAATAAAAAAGAAAAACTCAGTCTAGATACCTCAATTTTTCGGGAGTTATCGTGACTACATACAAAATCAACATCCGGACGTCCACGTAAATATTTTTTCGAACCGTTTTTTTGAAAGTAATAACATGAAATGATTTTTTAGAAAATATAAGATGGATTAATTAGTGTTTTCTTGATATACGGCTATTCATATTATCATATTAATGAAATATGGTCATGATAGAGGCATTTTAAGATCACAAAATTGCTTGACCTTGACGTCTCGGGAGTAAAGCACTACCTTACAACGCTTCGCGTTATGAGGCGTGCAACGAAATTAATTACATTTCATTATATTTTATTCGTGGTAGAGCCACGCTGCAGCTATATTATGGTTGTAGCGCAGTATAGTTTTATTTATAGGATAGGGTGACAAACGAGCACACGATCCACCTGATGGTAAATGGTTGCTGAGACCCATAGGCACCTACATCTATCCGCGATTACGAATCAAAATGCAGATGAGTTGTCATCCGAGAGGACTAACATTGCATGCCTTGTTTCCATTAAAAAGGGTATCCGTGTTCTCTACACTCTATACTTAACACAGCAGCGTTAAGCTGCTATTTTACGCTGGTTTTCTGTGAGAGCGTGGTCCTTCCCCGGTCGAGCCGACCCATTAGTGCTACACCTATACAAATAATATAGCTGCAGCACGGCTCTACCAAGTTTGCTCTAATCGGCCAGAAGGCTATAATCATTGTTATCGTCTCAAATTAATATCAACATAGTCATCTCAAATTTTCTTTCTCTTCAGATATTCCAATGAAGAAGAAGCGTATAAAATTGACGTAGACAATCTGAACACTGTAGAACAAGTGGAGACGCCTCTCTGCAGCGCGAGCCGTCTGAAGGTCCTTGAAGATGACATCAAATCCTCCCACAATATCCTGACCCCCACCGACATCTCCCTCTCTCCCACCAATATGTCCCTAAGTCAGGAATCATCTACCATGTCGAGAGCTGGAGAGTCAGTGCCTTCATCGCCTTTATTCACTAGGGCCGGTACGCAGAGAAGCCTGGGTTGGCATTTCAGAAGGATCCACCCGGAGGAGAAGCAGGAAGGCCAGGGTATTGAGCAGAGTTCTTAATTACTTAATGTGTAATACCAAGATAAAGCTTCTATTTATACACTCTTCAATAATAACTGTTGAAGTTAATGGATAATTGTAGTTTTTATTAAAATAACTTAAATAAAGAAAAATAAAAAACCCCCAAACAAAAAGAGCTGATCTTCAAACGGCTGAACAGATTTTCTTGAATTATAGCTAAAAACATTCTCGATCAAAATACCTTTTAAACGAAAAAAAACTTAATCAAAAATGGTCCATCCGTTCAAGAGCTATGAGGTCATTAGACAGACACACAGATACACACACATACACATACACACAGATACACAGATACACACATACACATACATACAGATACACAGAAACATACATACACATACACACAGATACACACATACAGATACACAGACACACACATACACATACACACAGATACACACCTACACATACACACAGATACACACATACACATACACACAGATACACAGACACACACATACAAGCACTCGTATAACATCCCTCTGTTTTCGTCAAGGGTTAAAAAGGTTTCTTTCAAACGAGTCATTACTCCTGTGCCGCAGGAGCGTTTTACATACATAAGCTGCACACGGAGGACCATCCAGAACCGAAATAATTATTTCTAGATCTAGTTTATAGATATATTAGAGTTGAGCGTCTCGTTTGTTTGGTGGTCGTAAACACGGTTACTTATCATGAGCTCACATCATTTATTGAGTTTCTCTGTCAAGTTCAGTAGCAGCACGGATTCAGGAAGTTGTCGGTGTTGATAGCACGTAAAGTCATTGGTCCAGCGCCTGATTTCTCTTCACTTGTGTCATTTTGTCGTCTCGACTATACAAATAAATAAAATTGAAGTGTCTGTTTGTAATGTTAAAATAACAGCTTTTTACTAAATGCATATGATATTATATACAATACTTCATATCCCCTAGTCCAACAGCTAGTTGGACTATGAGAGTGAGGAGATAGAGAGTGCACCAAAACTTGTGCATACACTCTGGCACTATAATCCTGACTTGCGCGGATGACCTTCAATATTTTATTATTTAACTATCTGTTCCACGCGACTTCGCCCGCGTTCAATTTAGGGTTTTTATTTTTTTGCGCGGAACCCTAATTCTTTATTTTAATAAAAGTAGCCTAAGTTACTCCTTATAATTTCAGCTATCAGCTAGTGAAAGTGTCGTCAAAATTGGTCCAGCCATTTCGGAGATTAGCCGGAACAAACAGGCAGACAGACAAGAATTTGAAAATTTGTTTTTTTTTGTTTTAAATACCGTATACACTTCCATATTATGTATTTAGTAAAAAGCTGTTATTTTGATATTTCAAACAGACACTTCAATTTTATTTATTTGTATAGATTTAAATGAAAAATAATTCATCCATGCATTACAGCCTGTCCAGAGTCCACTGCTGAAAATAGGACTGTGTAAAGATTACCTCATAAATCTTCCCATGAGGTGTTGATATGGCGTAATGGATTCTCTTAAACCGACGCTACACGCCAATAAAAAATATTAAGGCTATTAGAAACCACCTACATGTATATAAACAAAACCGTTACTATAATAGAATATGGTATGATATGTAAACTTGTAATATACTGTTAATAATATTATAATAAAAAAAATGAAGCATTTTTTTCTTTATCCTACTTCCTTATAATTTCCTACTGGCTAATCGGTAGCACTAGCAGATTTATTACTCTTTATTTTTAGGGTGCCTCCTATCCGTCCGTCGGTCCGTCTGTATGTCAGCGGGCTGTATCTCATGATCCGTAATAGATAGACAGTTGAAATTTTTAGAGAATGTGTAAATAAAAAAAAACAAACAATAAAATAAATTAAAAATTAAAAGGGGCTCCCCTACTTGAAACGAAACGTATTACGATGGTACGGAACCCTTCTTGCGCGAGTACGACTCGCACTTGGCCGGATACTTATTGATAGATGTAAAGGTGACAAACGAGCATACAGTCCACGTAATGATGAGAAATTCTGTGGTCCATAGACACCTACATCTACCTACACCTACATCCTCGATTAAGAATCAAAATGAAGGTGCGTTGCCGTTACCGAGGACTAAACTAAAATGTCTTATATAGTGTCGGGTAAGAATACTCACTACCCCATATCTTCCCGTGGGTGTCGTAAGAGGCGATAGAGAGAAACTGAGGCTGAGGATGGGCAGCAGCATCTTTCTGATAACAGCAAAACAACAATAAAAAACTGTGGTTGCCAACCCGCTCGCCAAGCGTTGCAACTATGGCAATATACCCCCCATGAGCAATGACGTTAATAAACGGCCCCCAGTCCCCGGCGGCCCCGCTATTTCTGGCTACGGTGGCGACCATGGTAACGGTGGGGCAGGGGGTGCTAAGAATCTCCGGTGGAGGTTCGGTTGCCACCTACGACGACTCGACCTGGCAACATACAACGCACGCACCCTGAGGACTGACGAGAAGATCCTGGAGCTGGAAGAAGAGATAGACAAGTTGCGCTATAATATCATAGGATTATCCGAGGTCCGAAGAGAGGGGGAGGACACGGTAATCCTCGAATCCGACAGTGTCCGGCAATCCAGGTGTCGGATTTATCGTCCACAAGCCTCTCGTTAACAACGTTGTAAAGATTGGGAATGTGTCGACGAGGGTTGCGTACCTTATACTCAGAATCACCATACGGTATTCGCTGAAGGTCATACAGGTTTACGCACCAACCTCGGCACACCCCGTTAAGGAGGTGGAGGAAATGTATGAGGATATCTCTAGACATGCATTCTTCCAAAACCCACTATATGGTATTAATGGGATACTTCAACGCAAAACTAGGCACAAGAGAGAACGGTAAGCTGAAAGTAAGAAAATTTGGATTAAGGCAGCGGAACCCAAGGTGGCGAGCAGCTGGCCGACTTCATGGAGAAAGAGGGACTCTTTATGATAAACTGTTTCTTCCAGAAGCGGCCCCACAGGAAGTGGACCTGATCGAGCCCCGATGGTTCGACAAAAAATGAGATTGACTTCATTATGACGACCAGACGACAACTGTTCAGTGATGTCTCTGTGATCGCGAGGGTGAAAACCGCCTGCGATCACCGAATGGTTAGAGGCATACTGAACCTAAACGATAAGTTGGAGAGGTCACGTCTAATGAAGTCAACGCTCCGTCCCCCTCGTGCTCTAATCCAGTCTCGAAACCTTTCAGCTACGAAACCGTTTTCAGTGCCTAGAAAATTGCAATGCAGTGGACGATATAAATGACAAGCTCGTGGAAACTGTCCATGCGGTCGGAGCTAAGTTTTGCAAGACCCGCCGCAGAAGAACACAACAACTCTCCGATCACACTCTTAATCTCATGGCTGTTAGACGAGATATGAAGCTGCAGTCTTCAGTAGATTTGACAGCATACAGGCAACTAAACAGACAGGTCTCCAAATGCGTGGCGGGACTTACGCAACTTTAATACTGCTCGTATTGAAGAAGCGATCGAGCGGAACCAGGCCTCCAAAGTTTTTGCTAGAGATCTGTCTGCCAGAAAGAGCTAACTGTCCAAGCTGAAGACCGAGTGTGGCAGCGTCGTTTCCGGGACACCTGATATTTTAAGTGAGATTGAGAGGTTCTATGGGTAGCTGTACACATCATCGTTGGAGCCACACGCAAGTGTGAGTAACGATCCAAGAGCGAGTCTTATCCGACACTATTCCGATGATATCGCGAACGTCAGTCTGAGCGAGATTATAATGGCTCTCAAGCACCTTAAAAACGGCAAGGCCCCAGGCGAGGATGGAATTACAGCGGAGCTTCTTAAAGCGGGTGGAAAACCGGTGCTTGAAGTCCTTCAGAAGCTATTTCTTATATTTACGCGAACACTACACATTTTTAAATAAAACTAATTTTACGGATTTTATCGCGTATATTAACTTATTTTTATATTCCCGACGTTTCGGGTGCTTTCCAGCACCCGTGGTCACGGGGGACTGAGTTGTTTGACGTCCTGCTGTCAAAGTTAGCCCGGCTACCTTCAGTTTTTTAATATTAATTTTTGGTTCGATTTACGCAGAATAAGCTTACAGTATCTTGAAGTCTAGCAGTGGTATACTTGGGTCAGAATGAGCTTACAGTATCTTGAAGTCTAGCAGTGGTATACTTGGGTTAACCCAAGTATACTACTGCTAGACTTCAAGATACTGTAAGCTCATACTGCGGAAATCGAACCAAAAATTAATATTAAAAAACTGAAGGTAGCCGGGCTAACTATGACAGCAGGACGTCAAACAACTCAGTCCCCCGTGACCACGGGTCCTAGAAAGCACCCGAAACGTCGGGAATATAAAAATAAGTTAATATACGCGATAAAATCCGTAAAATTAGTTTTATTTAAAAATCCTTCAGAAGCTCTTTAATTCCGTCCTCCGTGGTGGCATTACACCGGAGGCGTGGAGCAGAAGTGCGGTGGTCTTGTTATTCAAGATAGGTGACAATGCTCTCTTGAAGAACTACAGACCGATTTCCGTTCTGAGCCGCGTCTACGCGCTGTTTTCGTGAGTTATTACGAATCGTCTTGCGTGCAGAATTGACGACTTCCAGCCTCCCGAACAAGTCGGTTTCATGGTTTCAGATGAACATGGACAAAACAAAGATGAATTTTAATGTCTATGTCACACCTATGCCGTTAGTTGTTGGGAGCACTAAGCTCGAAGTTGTTAACGAGTATGTTTACCTGGGACAAATAGTCCGACTAGGTAAGTCCAACTTCGACCGAGAGGTCAATCGACGGATTCAACTCGGTTGGGCAGCGTTCGGGAAATTACGGCACATCTTCTCTTCAGGTATACCTCAAAACTTGAAAACGAGACTGTACAACCAGAGCGTGTTGCCAGTGATGACCTATGGAACTGAGACGTGGTCCTTCATTGCTGGCTGGATGAGGAAGCTCAAGGTCGCTCAGTGAGCTATGGAAAGGGCTATGCTCGGAGTTTCTCTGCGTGATAAACTT